AAGTCAACTTTGCCCCCTATTACGGCCTTTCTGGCCGCCGCCGTTAAAACGAATCGCTGCAGGTTTGCTTCCTTGGCAAGACGGTTCTTAAGCGAGCGTCGCCCCGTTTTGCGAGCTTTCTCGCTACCGTCGCTGAACGAATCCCTGCCTTGAGTCACCAGGCCGAACGCTTTCTTTGAAGGTCACCGAGACGAAGACGCCGAGTGCGGATCCTGCTTTTCCGGCTTTTGCGAATATGAAGAGTCCTGCGAGCCATGTGGGATGTAAGCCCCCCCCTCCTCAACCAGATTGGGGTAGGGTAGGGGAGGAATTAGGGTGCCCCAAGCTCAAAATAATGTATTTTATTCATTAATAATGTATTTCTTTTATTTGGAGAAAGACCACAGGACATAACTAATGCGTTCTCCACCACGGTGGCTCCTGATAGCATCACTCCCAGGTAAATGGATAGCCCCCCCAATCTCCCCTAGCCCCCCCATTCACCCTCAGCCCTCCCAAATCTCCCCCAGGTAGCAACACGACCTTTTCTAAACTACCTTTCCCCTCCTGGCAGGACCCCCAGAGTTGAGGAGTGCAACATGGTGTGTAAAATCGGTACGTGCTCTCGATGGTTATTTCTTTTCTCGCCCCCCATTGCTGGCAGGACGAAGCCGCGGTTGACAGAGCGGGAGATAGGAAGGGAGCTGAGATTCAGGGCTTGTGGGGGAGGCCCAGGTAAATTAGTCTGGGATGGGAGACCACCAGGAGATCCCAGAGAAGACGGCAAGACTGTGAGGCTGAAAAACACTCCCAAATGTTAATTTAGATTTTTAATTGCATTTTATTTCACATTTTTAGTTTAGTTTAGGTTTCCATTTTATTCTGGTTCAGATCTTTACTTCCTTTTAGTTTAGACCTTTATTAGATTTTTTACTTTATTTTAGATTTCTATTTTATTTTAGATACTTGTTATTTTAGATTTTTATTCTACTTTAGATTCTTATTTTATTTTATGTTTCACATCAGTTTTTTATTTTATTTTAGATTTACTTTATTTTACTTTAGCTTTTTATTTTATTTTAGACTTTTGTTTTCTTTCAGATGTTCATTTCTTATTTTAGGTTTTTTTTTATGTTTCACATCAGTTTTTTTATTTTATTTTAACTTTAGATTTCTATTTATTTTTTTATATTTTTGTTTTACTTTACTTTGGATTTTTAAAAATCTTACCTTAGAGTTTTATTTTAGATTTTACTTTAGACTTTCATTTCATTGCCTATTGGTTTTATTTTATTTTAATTTCATAGAGGAAACAAGACATGTTTTAACGCTGGGATATATAGCATGGATCGGCTGACCCATCTCTCCTGGGAAAAATCTGAAAAAATCTTGATTTTTGCTTGATTTTGCTCTTCTTCTGGTCTCAGCTGTAGGTCTTTGTGGATGCATTTTCATCTTGGCAGGCGCCCTGATCCTCTATTTTAAGAAGAGGAAAATTACTTCTGTTCCGAAGTTGATCCCTGCACCGAATATCTACATTAGCAATCCGCAATTCGGTAAAAAAAAAATTCGATGGTCATTCTGATGTTTATTCGCCATGGGTAGTCCTTGACTTACGACCGCCAACTTGAGCCGAAAACTTTTTTTATTTTATTTTAGGTTTTACTGTGTTTTAGACTTTATTCTAAGCAAGTCAGTCGCTAAAGGAACATTGCCCCGTTTTACGACCTTTCTTGCCACTGTCGCTAAGTGAATCACTGCAAATTAAGTGCAAAGGGTGTCTGTCTTCCCTCTCCACCCCCTACCGCCTCGGCTTTGCTGGTCAGACGGTCGCAAAAAGGGAATTGCGTCACACACACACATACACACACACACACACCGGGAAAACTGCGACCAGTATAAATATGAGTCGGTGGCCGTGCATCTGAATTTTGATCACCTGGGGGATAAAGATGGTCGTAAGTGTGAAAAACGGCCCTAAGTTGCTTTTTTTTCAATGTTGAATGGTCATTAAACAAATGCTTGCAGGAATGGTGTCCTAGAGGTGGAGCTCTCTCTCTCTCTGGACACAATGAGAAATATATCTGCTGAATAAAACTCCACTCTGGCAATGGGAAGAGCATCTGGCCAGTAAACACTCGGCTCCATTCAGTTGCCCTGACTCCACCCCCCGAAAGGGATTACAAAGTCATTAAATGACAAAATAAATAAATAAATAGCTTGTAAGTTGAGGGTTACCTATTTTGCACTGCTTGTTGGTCTTGAGAATACAACAGTCCAGACTTTGCTAGCAGAGATCAAATGGTGTTCGTGGCTTGTTCCCAGAGCCCACCCTGCCTCCATCATCCTTCTCCCAGCCCAATGGGATCTGTAATCCAGCCCCTCTGGAGGGACTTATAATTAAGGGTGCTAGACTGGGCTCCCCAGTTCCATAAGCCAGTGGCACTGATTCCCTGCTGTTTTCCAGGCAGTCCCATCTCCTCCCCTCCCGAGACAGTCGTGCTGATGGACAAAGCGCCCCCGCCATCCCGTTCCCTGCAACAAGGCCGGAATCTGTACACCGTCATCAACGCCGTGCCCGTACGACGGTGGAAAGAGTTCGTGAGGGGCCTGGGGCTACAGGACGGCGAAATCGAGCTGGTGGAACTGGAGCACTCTCAGTTCCGCGAGCAGCAGTACGAGATGTTGAAGCGCTGGTGTCAGCAGCGGGGCGCCTCGTTGGCAGCCATTTTGGACACCCTGGAGGCCATGCAGTTGGGCGGCTGCGCCCAGGAACTGAAGGAGAAGCTGCAGGTGGAGCATCTGCGGGGCATCCCGTAAGGTGGACGGCGACGGGGGCTCTCCTTGTACGGGGAGATACATCATGGGTCGGGTCAGTGTACGAGCGGCGGACCATCTTGCCGCAGCCAACTTGCCTCAGTCCACTCGCCACAACCAACTCGCCACGGTAAATCTCGCCGCAGGACAACTTGGTGCAGCCAACTCGCTGCAGGACAAAAATTCTACACAGGATAACTCAACACGATAAACGTTACCCATCACTATTCGACATTATTTCCATTTTTGTGGTAATGGGCAAAATGGAAATGAGGTCGAAGAAACGGTAGCAGGTAACATTTGTCGTGTTGAGTTATCCTGCGTGGAATTTTCCCCCGGCGAGTTGGTCGTGGCGAGTTGTCCTAGAGTCACGAGGCTAGCATTGCTGATGTACGACTTCCAGCTGGAAATGCTCAGGACTTAACTCCAATGGATGGTACCCAGTTACTTGAACCCTCAGCCTCGTCCACAACTTGTTCATTTGTCTTCTGTGCAAAAGATACCACGTGGATCTCCTTGTGAAGGGAAAATACGAGCAGCCAGCGGGCGATGCACTACCGATATCGGCTGAGCCACCCAAAACATTTTGCCTAATGGTGGCCAACTCACTACCCTTACTGGAAGAGCCAACAGTCTTGTTTTGTCTGACAAATAGGGCCAACATTGCCATTTAGACCAGCAGTCGCCAACCGGTAGGCCGCGGCCCACTGGTGCTCACCAACGTCAGCAAGCCACCGCCAGTCAAAATTCATATTAGTGGTCCCCGGGATTTATAATTATGAATTTGGTGGTCCCTGAGGTCCAAACGGTTGACGACCTCTGGTCTAGACAGATCAGTCCGATATAACGCTAGCCAACTTGAGGTATTACTTGAATTTTATTACGGTATTTCTGTTTTGAACACCAGGATGTAAGTAATTCTCCACGTAGAACTATTCTAATGTGAATCTATAGTCCTCGATCTGTGACAATCCTGCTGGCTCGCATACGAAAAGCTTAACAAGCCTACCTCACAGGGCTGTTGTGATGAGGTTGTGACGAGACCTGCTTGCTCTGGAGGGTTCAGGCACTGCAAGAGGAGTAGTAGACATTGTATGTCACTTTTGAAATAAAGGTTTAATCTGTCCTGGAGGACAAGGGTAGTTTTTTCTTACGGTGAATCACATGGAATATTTTAGACACGGAAGAGGATTCGTCTTAAGACTGGCCTCAGTCTACCCATCTGCAGAAGCTAATCTTCCAAAGAGTTGCAGGGGAAATGATGTACCTGTTTATCTCTATAATGCTAAAATGTTCGTAAGCTTTAACGGGGTGAGACGCTGCATCGCAGGGCAAAATTTTTCCCACTCAAACAAGCTACTTTACAGAATGCACCCCAAATCCGTGATTCCTATGGAATTGAAATTTGGCAATAAAATCTCATTTCCCCTACTATCAAGTTCTCCTTTTCTTTACGAGTGCCCTATTTTATTTTTTTGCAATTTTGTCAGTCTGCAGTAAGTATTTCTCATCTGGGGTTGTGCTGTTTGCAACGATTCTATGCGTTCACCTTGCGGCCAATTCATTCTTTAAAAAAGGTGGGGGGGTTATTTATATGTTATTTTACATGTGTGTGTGTGTGTGTGTGTGTATCTATATATCTATATATATTAACATCAGGCGTTTTGGAGTTCCTCTTCATGCACTTAATAATAATAATAATAATAAAAACAACTTTAACACATTTGCTGGTCCCCCCTGTGAGTTTTTTGATCTCCAAGGTGCCTGAATTTTAACAATTAAGAATTGTGAAAAATGAAGGCAGGCTGTGGAATCGTAGCTAAGCTGGTGCTTTGCATGCAAACAAATCTTGGTTTTGATGGCTGATGTTTCCAGGAAGTCAGCTTTGCATAGAAGGTAGTCCTTGACTTACAACCACAATTGAGCTCGAAATTCCTATTGCTAAGCAAGATGTTGTTAAGCGAGTTTTGCCCCATTTTACGACCTTGTTCGTCACAGTGAATCACAGCCATTAAGTTAGTAACCCAGTTGTTAAGTGAATCTGGCTTCCCCAGAGACTTTGCTGGTTAGAAGTTCGCAAAATGGGGTCACGTGCCCTTCTGGGACAATGCAACCGTCATAAGTACATGCCAGTTGCCAAGCCTCTGAATTTCGATCATGTAACCAATGGTTGTAGGTGTGAAAAATGGTCCTAAGTCACTTTTTTCAGTGTAACTTCAAATGGTCACTAAATGAATGGTTGTAAGTCCAGGACTACTTATAGTGACCTCTCCAGCATTGGCCAATCTGTGCTCAGTAGTGCCAGCTGTGGAAAATTTGGGCCATTTGCAAATTTTTCTTCTTCTCTTTTTCAGAATTAGCTCTTAAGATGGGGTTGAGCAGACCAGATGCTGGTTTATAATTAAATCCCACCCTTTGCAGTTGGACGATTAAAGTCGCCTGTATCGAATGGACAAAGAGCGGCATTTGAACAAAGAAATTTTAGATAAACAAAGGATGAAGAGAGAGAGAGAGATCCCAAATGGATCTGGGTTTGGGTTGAACGAATGGACATTTAGCAAAATGAGCAGCTGAGACAGACAGATCCCAAAAGGATGCGGAGGTCGAACAAATGGAAATTTGACAGAACGAGTGATCGAGAGGGAGAGATCCTGGGTGGATCCGGTGACGAGCACAGAAGATCCGCACACCAGGAGATTCGACTCTCTGCTTCTCCCGCAGTTCCCTCCCGGTTCTGGGATCGAAATGGGAATCCCCCAAAGCGCGGAGAAGGGTTAATACTTTGCCATGTCTCCTTTTTTGAGAATGATCTGCCTTTGCCAGGGCGTCAGTTTGTTCTCGTCAAAGCCGAGAGTCTTTAGTTTTTCCGCTTGTTCTTTCTCTTTCTCCTCCTCGATCCGTCGCAGTTTTTCTTCCTCCCGTCTGTCGGAAAAGAAACGAGAGGAACAAACAAGGTTAAACAGAAAGAAAGATGCAGAATGAGTGCTGCCAAACGTGGGATTTATTTTAGCAACGGCTGGAAAAAAACAGGGTAAAGATTAGGAATATAAATTGTATCATTAAGCAGATCAAACAACCCAGGCAACACCATGTTTATTAAGCACTAATTAAATGTAACCGTAGAAAATTAATAAAACTTTATTAAAAAAGAAAAAAAGAAACGAGAGGCTGGTAGAGTTAGCGACATGCCCAGTGCCCCCCCAAACTCCCCAGTTTATTTTTAATTTATTGTAATATATTGATAGGCAGATAGTCCTCGACTTACAACAGTTCATTTAGTGACCATTTGAAGTTACAGTGGCACCGAAAAAAGGGACTTATATGACTGTTTTTCACACTTACGACCGTTGTAGTTATCCCCAGGCTCATGTGATCCAAATTGAGACACTTGGCAACTAACTGGTTCATATTTATGATGGTCGCGATGTCACGGAGTCCTCTTTTTACGACCTTCTGACAAGCAAATTCAATGGGGAAGCCAGATTCACTTAACAACCATGTTCCTAACTTAACAGTTGCATTGATTCGCTTAACAGCAGTGGCAAGAAAAGTCATAACACAGGAAAACTCACTTAACAACTATCTCACTTAGCAACAGAAATTTTGGGCTCAATTGGGTGTATATGTGTGGTGTATGTGTGCATATATATATGGATATATAAATATAATGTATAATTCAATATATATTTGTGTGTGGGTCTATGGATATATAAATATAATATATAATTAAATGTTTGTGGCATCCATCTGCCTCTACAAGGTAATTCTGAACAGGTTTTGTTTTCTTCCTGTCCAGCAGTGATATTTTCCAACCCACGAGGACTCTTTCGTGTGGATCCACGTTGTTTCCAACCCAAGGCCGCGCCTGATGGGTCCAGGGACTCAGATGCCTTAAGCAGAGGAAACGGGCACCCAAACCCAAACATTGAGCCGCGCCGTTGAGACTCACCGTTTTTGTAACCTAAGAAAGAAAGAAAGAAAGAAAGAAAGAAAGAAAGAAAGAAAGAAAG